GCTGTCACGCTCAGCGGCTTTGCACGTGTGACCGCTCCACAAAATTTGCTCCGGTGTAAAATATATCGCAACAAAATATTTCGGTGCAGCGTCGGACCAAATGTGTGCCGTGTGAACAGGGCTAATAGGGGTGTTCACACGGCAAGATTTGCTCCAGTGCTACACCGGCGCTGCGCCAGTAGAGCGTTCACATGTGCAAATTTGCTCTGGCGTAGCCCCGGAAGACAGCTTACACCGGAGCAAATTTGATCCACCTCAGGGAGGTGGTTTAAAAATTTGATCCAGAGCAAATGCTCGTTTGCGGGACAGCACCGATGTAAAATGGTACGTGTGAACGCTACAATTTGCTCCGGAGAAAATGCTCGTTTGCGAGGGGGGAGTAGCCTTGCCAAGCATGAGAAGAGTTGATTACGTACGGCGAGAATGCCTTGCTTTCATGCTCTGTCGGACTTCCGTCATATGTTTCATAACAAAACACAAGACATGGCTGGTAACGTAGCAAGCACCTCTTGGGTTATACCATCTCAATTAGAACGGCGGGGGAATAGTCCCCAAACGTCATCTTTCCTTTTGTAGGAGACTGGACTGTCTCGGAGTTGTTTGTGTAGTTTGTTCCTTTGTTGTGTATTCACAACCCCCCGCGCCCCACAGAATTTATTTTGTGATTTCCTTTCTTGATTTTTCTGTTTGGCGCATTCATTTTTGCTTTTCTGAGTGTCATTGAAGTCATTGTTGATTTACGTTTTCGGGGGCGGTCACTCTCGAGCAGAAGGCACGAAGACCGAGAATGAGAAGGACGTGCCTGTACAGTAGTTGCTTGAGTTGTGTATACGTTTTAAAAAGAACCAACACGACAGCTCATTTGTTTTCTGTCGTTTTGATCCGCAACACAAACTGCCGTGTGAATGCAAGTGGAGCTGCACCGACACTGCGCCGGTGCTAATACGCTCAGGGGCTTTGTACGTGTGAACGCTCCACAAAATTTGCTCCAGTGTAAAATAGATCGCAACAAAATACATCAGTGCGGCGCCGGAGCAAATGTGTGCCGTGTGAACACCCCTAATAACTTACATATCCATCCATCTATTTTCTGAACCGCTTTATCCTCACAAGGGTCGCAGGGCTTGCTGGAGCCTATCCCAGCCGTCTTCGGGCAGTCAGCGGGGGACACCCTGAACCGGTTGCCAGCCAATCACAGGGCACACAGAGACGAGCAACCATCCACACTCACAATCACACCCAGGGACAATTTTGAGTGTTCAACCAGCCTGCCATGCATGTTTTTTGAATGTGGGAGGAAAACGGAATACCCACCCAGTCCCGGGGACAACATGCAAACTCCACACAGGGAGGCCGGAGCCGGGATCGAACCCACGACCTCTGCACTGTGAGGTGAACATGACCACTGGACCACCGGGCCGCCCATAACTAACATATTATCTATTGAAATGGAAGTTCTCGTTTGTACCATAACGCCAGCAGTGACATCAAATAGGCATCACAAAACAATGTATCTGTGGGTTTCTGAAATGCATCAGAGTTGTTTGATGTGAGATCTTGTGGTGCCCGCAGATGGGCAACTTAAACGATGGACAGTGTTACAATTTTTCATAAGTGCTACTGAGGGTTACATAGTACCATGTCGTTCCAGATGTATAATTAAAATCCAATTTTAAATATGGACAAAGTGTGCATACTGTACATGCAAAATAGTGCTCTTACTATTTTCAATTTTACAAAACACATCTCTCTCATACCTAAAAGATCCTCTATTCAACAATGAAGGGTTTGAAGCAAACAACAGAATAACCACATACTGTGATTTTCTTTCAGCTGCAAAGGCCTCCATTGCATAAAACTACCATTCAAGGACAGCACAAAACTGTGAAACAACAAACCAACATTTTCAAGAAGTCATTCTGTGCATTACTTCACAAAAATCAACTCACTCAAACTGTTAATGTTATTGAAGTACTTACTATGGCTGTCCTGCATGTCATGACAAATCCGCCCAAAAATTAAAAGGCCGACTCACGTTGCAGTATTCGTGTAGCATAAGGGCCGAGTCGGCCCGGCAAATAGCAGAAGTCCACGTAAAATTGACACCCACTGAAATGGATTGAAAAAAGTTGATAGATAAGTTTATCTATCTATACTTTTTGTGAAACCCCAAAAAGTATTCAAAAAACAGTGATGAACCTCCAATGCACATTTTCGATGGAAAATGTGCATTGTGTTTCCTTCCCACAAAAAAAAAAAAAAATCTGTAAATGATGCTGAGCCATGAGTATTTGGGCATCAACTGTAGTAGATTTGCAATTTTCGCCCCATCCAAGTGCAGTGACATCAACCTGTATTCATTTTTTTTTTTTTAATTCGATGTTAGCGTATCATGTTTGAAGTCACTCTTTTTGCTCAAAAACTGATGCGCTCATTGTATCTTGTTACACATGTACCAGGCCAGGCCAGGCCAGGTCCGGCCCAAGGTTCGAACGCATGTTACCATCATGTTGATGATCATACTCAAAATTAATGCACATTTCAGAACACAAAACATGATGAATTTTGTTTCATAGGTTAAAGATATACAAGTTTATTTTTGTTTGCTGTCTTGAAGCAGAACTTCTCTCAAGAACATCAGCATTAGAATTTAAACAGCCACGCAAAACACCATGTGAATTCAGTTGGTTTGGTTTCAATTGGTTTTCTATTAGTCTCGAGAGCAGGGTTCACGATCAGCTCCATTTGTAAAGCGCCTTAAGAGATTGTCTGTTATGAACTGAAGCTTTATAAATCAATGGAATGAAATACGACGACTACTAACATTATTAACTTCTAAAACTCTGAAAGTGAGCATGAAGACAATCTTAAGGGTCTTACCTTGCCAAACTGTTCAAAATAAAGCTTCACCTCTTCAATTACTGTGTTGGCTGATAATCCTCCCACGAAAATCTTCTTTGTTCTTGTTACCATCTGGAGAAGAGAGATGAGGCAAAGAAAGGAGAGACTACAGGTCAATATGGTTTTTCCAAAAACAAATAATCCTTCACCTGCATCTCAAACACTGCGTCATCATTGATTTTTGCGTGTGCGTATGTGTGTGCGTGCACGTGTGTCTGGGTGCATGATCAGAATGTAATGCTTAAATGTGCAATTTACTTTGAAATCTCCCAATGCTAATATGTGTGATGCATTTCAACTACTTTTTCTATGCATCAATGTGTATTTCAGGTCCTGATGCATCACAAAATGCATTAAAAAAAGCAGCACAATTTCTTCCGACATATGCCTGCATCTGTGTTTGAAAATCTTAAAGTGGAGAGGCTTCTCTCAAGCTGAGAAAAAAAAAAAAAAACAAAACATTCGTTCATTTGGTAGTTAGTATTAGTCTACTCGAGAGCCCCGTTCACACGGCAACGTTTGGTCCGACGCTGCGCCAAAACAGCACCAGTCGAGCGTTCACACGTGCACATTTGCTCCGACGTAGCTCCACTAAAGAGCTTATACCGGACCAAATTTGATCCACCTCAGGGAGGTGGTTTAAAAATTTGCTCCAGAGCAAATGCTCGTTTGCGACGCTACGCCGGAACAAATGTGCACGTGTGAATGCAGCTGGGTTAAATTTGCTCCAGAGCAAATCGTAGAAAGGGTTGTCAGTCGTCATCTGTACCTGTGGGTAAAAAACAAAAAACAAAAAAGGACGTTTCGCTTCTCTCACAGAAGCTTCGTCAGTGGTAGACAACCCTGAAGTCTCCGTGAAGACTCCGGGAATTGCTCTGCGCTAAAAAAGCTGAGCGTGGCCTATTTGAGGACTGGGTGGGGATGGTTAGTCACGCCCCTATGGTGAAGAGGCCCATTGGTTTCTAAACTCCCTATCATTGGGTCTTGATTAGGCCTATTGTTTGGGCTA